CTTCCCCCCCCCCCCCCACCCCTGCCCCCCCCCTCGCCCCCCAACAGACAAAATCAGTCAAGACAGAGGCTTTTCAAGAGGTTGGTGTAATCATGTCCAATCATCAGCCAGCACACCTGTCCAGTCTGTCCCAGTCTGTCCAGTCTGTCAAGTCTGTCCAGTCTGTCCAGTCTGTCCCAGTCTGTCCAGTCTGTCAAGTCTGTCCAGTCTGTCCAGTCTGTCCCAGTCTGCCCCAGTCTGTCCAGTCTGTCCAGTCTGTCCCAGTCTGCCCCAGTCTGTCCAGTCTGTCCAGTCTGTCCCAGTCTGTCCAGTCTGTCAAGTCTGTCCAGTCTGTCCAGTCTGTCCAGTCTGTCCAGTCCGTCCCAGTCTGTCCAGTCTGTCCAGTCCGTCCCAGTCTGTCCAGTCTGTCCAGTCCGTCCCAGTCTGTCCAGTCTGTCCAGTCTGTCCCAGTCTGACCAGCAGCTCATAGCCACACATTTCATGTTGGACCAGTGAAAAACAAATCCACATGGTACTACAGCTGGTCCTTTGGAAACACACACACACACACACACACACACACCCTCTTACCAACCAGATTCCTCCACCATCACTGGAGGATGTCCCATCAGTGGTCCACACACCCTAGCTTGAACTCAAACACCGCTCTGATTTCATGGTATTTTCCCAGTGACTTGTTGACTGTCCACCACTGCAGTTCCACCTTCGTCCACTGGCCGCTCCCTTCTGGAGGCGCCGTGGACTGAAGTGACAACAGAGTACTTAGACCGTGTACAAATGAGTACACGGTGTCCAGGTCACGGGGACTCACCTGAAAAAGGCGCATGATGTTGGCCACCATGATGGACACGGAGCTGGCCGACGCTCCGACGACCCCCACCACTTTCTCCGGCTTGACGAAGATCGGCGGCTCCCCGTTGGTGCACCTCACGTCCGTGGCGTCCTTCGTGATCAGAGTCTGCACGAACGTTAGCGACTGCTCCAGCGCGTAGGTGTCCCTGGAGCAGGTGTCCAGCAGCCGTGCGCCCAGGGTGATGTTGGGCAGCAGCTGCTCGTCCTGGTTGATCTGGTCCAGCGCGTACATCATGGCCTCCAGCCTCTGGATGCCGTTCTCCTTCTTCAGGACGCCGCACGTCGTGCCGTCCGCGGCACTGGAGTGGACCGGGAAGAGTCCCCCGACGGTCAGATGGCCCTCGGTCCGTATGGAATGTGGAGCGAAAGTCTCCTGAGGCAGCGCCACGTCCACCAGCGTCCTGACGACCAGCAGCGTCCTCCACAGCGAGCTCCGCTTTACGCACGGCATCCCGACACCTGACAAGTTGTACCCGAGGAGCGGCAGTGGAGCAGTGGAGCAGTGGAGCAGTGGAGCAGACGAAGGGCGGAGAAGTCAGTCAGTCAGTCAGTCAGTCAGTCAGTCAGTGCGAACACATCCATGTCACCGAGCGTCGGCATGAAGGTGGAGACGAGCTGTGGGAGGTGGAGGAGAACTGCGCCCATCCTTCTGCTGCTTCCGCTGCTGAGCCAGTGATGAGAGCAGCTTGTTGAACAGGGACTCGGAACCTTCGAGTAGAAGCAGACAGAACGAGCCGAAGACAGATCACAAATACACGGCCGCCACCGTCAAACTGAAGGTGCGTTAGAATCCTGAGAGCGAGGATGATGATGATGATGAAGATGAAGAAGAAGGAGAAGAAGAAGGAGAAGAAGAAGGAGAAGCCCCCGCTAATCAGACACTGTCATCAACACACACACACGCGCGCGCGGTTTCGTGAGTGGATCTGATCGTTAGGACCAGCTGAAGTGGGAGACATGGTCCCGGTCAACAAGTCCACGGACGCGCACGAACGTCGCTGCTGACCGTGCCGTCCGTCCGTCTGTCGTGCGTGTCATCTCCACTCTGTGTGGGTTTGAACAGAAAGGATGGAGAAAAAGGTTCAGGAGACCAGGAGCTGCAGCCCTCACTGGGGGGCGGAGGGAGAGGGGGAGGAAGAGGAGCAGGAGCAGGAGGAGGAGGA